CCCAATTCTTTGACAACCATGATTTAGCCAATGAATCCATTACTGTGAAGGGTGTACTATGCTGAACTTGTGACTTTATAAGATAACTTGCGCACTGTTTAAGCCAATTTGAGTTTAAATGTCTACAACTTAAGCTGACAACATTCTCAGACATGCTGCTGAGCCTTTTAAACCCTGACCAAATGAATTTTTTTAGATTTTGTTCTTAGTCTCACAGAACCCCAAACTTCTGAATGGCAAATTAGTATATTGGTACATTTGACAAAGAAACTGTCACTGTAGGTGGCAAAAATGTTCTCATGAACATTTCTGACCACTGAGATTTAGAAGAGAAGGTAAAAATTCACATTTCCCTTTGTGTCAGAAGGTGTTTCAAAGAATTTCAAGGTGTGCCTCTTATCAGTCGTTACTGTAAGTGGGAAATCAGTAAGTGTTGGAATTATTAAATATGGGGGGAAGGGTGCTTATATAAACAGGTTCCTTCCTTTGCCAAACTGAGCTGGATAGCTGTGATGGGGCCCATAGGAAGGTAAAGGCTTAATGTTTAATTTTGGTGAGAAGACTCCTCAGTCTTCTACCTTCCCAAGAGGTGCCTTTTTACACGTACCTGATTAAAATATACTTCCCCCTGTAAAAACATTAATTAAATAAAATGTACTTCCCCTTGTTTGCCTAAGAATTTAGTCTATATTGATAGTTTCCATGTCACTGAACAATCAGATTATTACTATATCACAAAACCAAAGTAAAAAGTATCAGAATGAGGAGAATAAGGACATCAATGATTCAGGAACTTGAAAACAGCAAAATGGGATCTTTGGGGGCTTATTTGAGGTGTAGTGTCTTAAATATTTCTTCCCCTTTGAGTCCCATCCCACCACCTTGATTCGGATCTTCATTTCTCCCCAGTATGGACAATGATATGTTTCCTAAACTCTCTTCCTTGATTCTAATCTCTCTCCAACTCAGACTTCATAATGCCACCAGACAGGAACCTAAATTATAGGTTTCTCTTTCTCAAAAACTTAATTGTGCACTAGTGATACCAGCATTGCAAACTGGTTAGTGTGGCCTTTAAGGCCCTCCAAATACGTTTGCAATTTAATTTTGCAGCCAGATCCAGCTGCCACCTCATGTGTCAGACCCACCATGCACGTGGACACGTACATGGCCTGTGCACATGCAGCTGACTCCCCTCTCCCTATTCTTTACAACCAGGAGTTACCATTATAGACTAGAGTGCCTACTACGGTCTATATGTTCAAAGATGAACAAGACACAGTGCCTGCCCTTCGGAGGTTCTATATGTGTGGAAAAACAGATGTGTAAACGTATGATTATAAGTGATAAGTGCTATAAAATGAACAAGGTGCTATAAAAATGTACTTGTGAAGCATATTTACTGTTTCAAGGGTCATAATTTAAAATCAGTAATTCTTTGTAAATACTCATAAAGATTGTATGTCTTAAATAGTTTATTAAGTGATGCCCTTAAAAATTTTAAAACATGACCACATTCAAATCTTTCCATGTTGAATGTGAACAGTAAAGATCTTTCCAACTATTACATTAAAAGGTGCAACAAAATACTAATCTTTGTTATAATTCCTGCTTTATATACATTTTTTTGGAGTTTTATGTCTGTTTCATAACTGAAAAGAACTTCACATAGTCTTTTTTTGTTCTATGAACCAAATACAATTTCCATATTTTTCTGTTAGCTTTTCCCTTTTCATATGCTGTGCTTCAGTGTTACCCATGATAACAAATCTCTATTCAACTACGAGTCTTCCCTGTGTTTAGAATTCACCTACATGTAAATCTGAATTAAACACATTTCATTTAAAATCTTTTCAGAGTTCAGAATTCAGTTTCTACAAAAATTCAATCCTTAAGAAATTTAATGGGCTCAAATTTCCCTTACGAACTTTAGAAGCTAGAAGACTATACAGCATATGTAGTCTTTTCTGTACACCTTTGAAAGATATGTAAAGATATGTAATTGCCATGTGTGTCCTCCCAGCACGAGGATGGTGAGAGTGATAAATAACATGCTATGTCCTCTGCAGGGTGTGTGTGTAACTCCTCTCATATGCACAGACATTCCTAGCTCTGGATCTATTGCAAGCAAGGAGTGCAGCTCCTAAAGATGGCACATTCATTCTATTATGGATGGGTGAGTGAGTGTGAGATCTTCTTTCCCTTTGGGCCTGTGCCATATTTATTCATAGACCTTGAGGGCAGAGTTAATCTGAATGTTTAAACCTTTTCAGTGTTTTGTGCTTCCTTGTAGCTCACTATTAACTTGGACATGTCATTTACAATACTAATCCAGAAGTGATCCTTCTAATCAAATATATATTGTTTAATAGAATTAGAAATATTTTTTTGAAGTACCAGTTTTATCACAGGTATGGCAACCTAACACATCCAGGCCAATTCTATTTACATTTGTAATGCTTCCTGCTGCTGAACAGTCTACCAAGTTGTAGACTTTAGGCCTCTGATAGTCTTAGTGTTCTTCCCCATTCTGTGTTTTAACTATCACCTCTACAAGACTCTCCCAGTTATACAAGTCCTACTCTTGAAAAGCCTACCTGACGGTTCTATCTGCATATCCTGACAGGACTTTAAATTCATATTTTCTCCCCAAGTATCTCCCCCTTCAGATTTTATTTCTGTCCATGATGGTATATAATTTTTCCAATCAGGAAGTGGACTCACCCTTGCTCTATGTCTCTTTCCACAGCCAATCAATTATCAGTATTTGTCAACTTTATTTCCTATCATCTCTTGTGTTAATCTTTTCTATTCTCACTCTCTTGTCCTTTGTTTAGGATATCACTTCACTCTAAGCTAGTATAATACTGTCTCCTTAATCTTAGTCTCTCCCTTCTCATTTACCTTCCAGAACAGTATTAGATAAATCTTCTAAATAATTTGCACAAGTTACCTCCCTGCTAAAGTGCTTTCAACAGCATTTAAACTTTAAATACTTTATACTTCCGGGTATAGTGTTTAAGGTCCTCTATAATCTGACTATTCTACCTCTTTAACCAAACACTGTAAACATTCTATGCTATTTATAAGAGATCCCCCAAAACAAGATTATGATTTGAAGGGCTGTTCTTTCGTTAACCAAGTTCAATAATAGGTAGATGTTAAGCTTTATAAGTCAAAATCAAAGAGATTAATGAAGGAGCAAGATCTCTCTGGAGGTATCTAATATTAAGATACTCTCTTGTAAGATCAATTCTATGTTAACAAGGACTATATTAACAAAGTATGAAATTGAAATAGAAAAATAACCTGCTAGGGATTACTTAATGAAGGCAGCTTGAATGGGAACAACATACAGTAACACTGTTACAGGAAAAAGCATAAAATCTTTATCAAGTTTTCTAGGAAGATACATTCAAAGAATAATCCTAGAATTGGAAAGACCTTTGTAATTATTTAGTACAACCAAGAAATCTTCTAAATTAGACAACTGAAAGCCAAAGGAACTTTGTGACTTACCTACATTTATACAGCTACTTCATACATGGTTTCTGAAACTAAATAAATGCTAATAGTTACTGAGGTTTTACCATGTGCTAGGCAGTGTGTTAGGTGCTTGACTGGTATTATCTCACTTAATCCTTGCTTCAGCCCTTAGAACTTTAGTAAACCTCATTTTACATTTGAGGGGAATAAATCACTAAAACTCTTTCTCTAAATTTTTGATCTTTGGGTTTCACTGCTCACATTTGTTATGTAACCTGCCTTCTTCATCTGGAAATACTTCTTTTCTGTACCTTACTCTAATACCCAATTTGCCACTTCGGAAAAACTAAGTGCTATACCTAAAATAATTTTAATTATATTTTTACCAGTGACTTGTAATGATTCATGCTAACATGAGTTATTTTACATAGTTTTTCAGATAGCAGTTTTAGTAAAATTTTCACTAAAAATTTAGTAAACTGGGCGCCTGGGTGGCTCAGTTGGTTAAGCAGCTGCCTTCAGCTCAGGTCATGATCCCAGGGTCCTGGGATAGAGCCCCACATCAGGCTACTTGCTCAGCTGGGAGCCTGCTTCTCCCCTGCCTGCCATTCCCCCTGCTTGTGCTTGCTCTCTGGCTCTCTCTGTGTCAAATAAATAAAATCTTAAAAAAAAAATTTTTTAATTAAAAATTTACTGAATTAAAAAATTTTGTTCACTTTACATTATTTAGTTATGGTGCTGCTTAAAAAAAAAGAAAACCAAAAATAAGTAAAAATTTAAAAATACGCCCCCCCAAAAAGAAAACCAAACCTCAGAAAAGGCAGGTGTTATGTATAATCACCCCAAAAGACTGAGGAAAATAACACAATGACCTCAGGATCACTTGTCTAAAACCTGCTAATATGACAAAATAGAGACTTATCAGCACAAAATTGTTTCTTAATGTTCTTGGAAAAGGGGATAAGAATGAATGAATAAATAAGTGCTAGAGTTGAGGAATTAGACAAATATTGACTAGTCTTTCAAAAAGTTTGTTGGTTAAGGTAAAGAAAAAGGGTGGCAGATGGAGGTGTTTGTTTGTCTAGTATGGAGGAGAAATGCAAACATGTATGAGCTGAAGGAAGGAGTCTGTGGACAGGGAGGGATTAAAGAACCAGAAAGGATAACTGACAGAGCAGGGTCCCAGAGGAAGCCTTTGTTCTACAAGATAGCATGGTCATAGTGACAGGATTGACAACTACATAGGCTGATTTATTATGCCATGGAAATGGCTCAAGTTCGAGAATTTGGGTGATATATAATAAAAGTACCCCCTTTAAAATAATTATGAGTCTTATAAATATAATACTCGGAATCAGTTTTTTAAAAAAACTAGTTAACTCCCTACATAGGACTATGTTCATCGTTGAATTATTAAAACAGTGTTTCGCCTGTAGCAGATAAATGAGTGAACTGTGATAACGATGAAGCATCGTAAAATAAACTATTATATTTTTAAAGACACTTATACTTACTATAGATTGAAAATATTCAGGAGAGATTCCTTCCAGTTCAAGGATTTTATCCTCAAGTTTTTTAATTCTTTGGTAAATGTCTCTTGGCACTGGACCACCTAAATACATTAAAAAAAAATTCTGAGATACTATTGAATAATTCTTCTTACAAATTTTATTCTTAAAATACCATGCAGGGGCACCTGCATGGCTCAGTCTGTTAAGCAGATGACTCTTGATTTTGGCTCAGGTCATGATCTCAGGATCCTCGGATCGAGCCCCGTGTCAGGCTCCCTGCTCAGCCAGGAGTCCGCTTCAGGATTCTCTCTCTCCTTCTGCCCCTCCCACTGCTCTCTCTCAAAAAAACAAAAACAAACAAACAAAAACATGCAAAGAAGATACGCAGAGGAATGGGAAATATTTAAGCTTGAGAAGATAATGAACAAGAGTAAAATAAAATGAAATCCTTAGCTCACATTTTCAATATTATACATTATGGGGTATATTATTCTATTGTACCGCTCCTCAAGCCCCATTTATGCTTCCTGTTTTGCCAGGAGTTTTATTTTATGTTAAATTCATTACAAGCTACTGAAGAGTTCCTGTACAGAACAATTTGTACTTCTGATAGAATATGATAGTTCCTTGGGAGGAGAAAAATGCACAGGGACACCTAACAGTTCAATTCAGTGACTGCAGCATGTCTTTATCACTTTCTTCAATTTATATTTCTCCTTACATGCCACATTTCCTCCTTTAACCTAAAAGAATAGTAAAGAGGAGCTTTATCATAATTCTTAATTAACAAACTTTCTGTGGAGGGGGAAGGTAAATTAAGGTTATTCAAATTTCAAGGTTATGATTATATTCCAAATCCCTTATTTCTTGCACCGCAATGTGACCATTCTGTCTAGACCCCCACCAACTCTGTATGGATACTACAACCTTCAAATTGGTCTCCTTGTTTCTGCCTTGCTCCCATAGTCTATTCTCAACACAGCAGTGACCCTTTTAAAATGTAAAAGTCAGATAGTGTCATTTCTCTGCTCAAAACCTTCTAGTACCTTTGCATCTCACTCAGGTTAAAAACCAGAGCTTTTACAGTAGTATCCAAGGTCCTACACAATTTGGACATTCTCTCCACACCCTTATCATTCTAGCCACTTGATTCCTTTTTTCTGTTATTCAAGTAGGCCACGTACTCTCACCTGTGGTTCCTCTGCCTCCATATTCACAAGGCTTGGTCTCACCACCTTTAGGTCTGGGCTCAAAAGTTACCTTATCAGCAAGGCCTTTTCTGACCACCCTTTAAAAAATACCAGTGTTACAACCACCCCCCTCCCCCGCAATCCCTATCCTTTCTCTAATTTTTTTCCAAACCATTACTACTACTGGATAGTCCTATATTTTGTTTATTTATTGCCCATTTCTCCACTTTAATGTAAGCTCCAGGAGGGCATAATTTTGTTTTGCTCATTGCATATGGCTGTGCAGCTTGTGCACTGCACAAACCTAGGAACCATCAGTTCACAAACTACACAGGTGCTCGATATTTACTAACTGAATGAATACATAATTAGATAATCATTATTCAATTAAAGCATATGGGCAAATTTTCATATCAAAAGTATCAACTTGTTAAATACGAAAAATCTAGAAGTAGGTTTCTTTTTTGAGAATGTTTACCTTAGAGTCTGGGTCATTTTTGCTCTTGAGTAAGGTAAAATGAGTAACTTATTCATCTTGCTGCCCTCTTTACCTAGAATGCCCTATGGCTCACCTCTGTATCTTTCAAGAGCCAGTTCAAGCTTCACTGATTCAGTGAAGCACTGCCTGAAATCTCTTCACATGGAGGCTCCTTGTGCCCCACCATACGCTTCCTTCATAGCATAACATTCCACTTCAATATTATTCTTTCTTCCAGATTATAAAGGTCTTGAAGCTAGGGACCGCAACTGTATCATTTTAGTATCCCTTGTGTCTAAAATAGCACTTGGCATATAGTAGGCATTCAAAAGATATTTTTCATAATTAACCACCTGATATTATTAGACTTTTTTATATACAGAGAGAGAGAGCCCATGCAAGCCAGGGGAGGGGAGAGGCAGAAAGAGAGATGTGGCTGGGGAAGGGGGATCCCAAGCAGGTTCCATGCCCGGTGTGCAGAACCTGACGGGGCTCAATCTCACAACCCTGAGATCATGACCTAAGCCAAAAATCAAGAGTCGGACGCTTAACTGACTGAGTCACCCAGGCACCCTGATACTATTAGACTTAATAAGCCAATCCATCCTTTTTTCAGTGTTTTTTTTTTTTTAATCCATTTAGTTATGGGGGAGAGGATTAATTTTTAATGCTAATCTCTTATTACCCTTGAAGTTTTACTCAGTCTCATCTTCTTTTACTTCCACTCAGCAAATACTCCAGCTAGACTGGACTCAGAAATTCCCCAACCAGATTTGTGTGCCTTAGTGCTTTTTGCAGATGGTATTCCCTCTTTTTGGAATAATTTGCTCCTGCCTGCTGACAAATTCCTACTAATCTTTCAAGGATGCAAATGTCACTTCACCAGGGATACCATCTCTTGACTTCCCCTGAAAGAGCTGAACACTAACTTTGTGTACCCACTGTACTTTGCATATGATCTGAAAAGGTGAAATGAGCTCATTTAAAAACTCCTGAATACCTGTTTTGTGCCAGACACTGCACTAAGCACAAAGTTAATGAACATGAGTTTGCTCTCGCAGACGTTACTACCTATCAAGGGGAACAGACATTAAACAAACACAACTGTGATAACTGCTATAAAGGAGGGCAGGGAGTACCAGGTACTACTGAGACTACATGAAAGGGGAGTCCATACCATACCAGTCTGGGATCAGGAGGGGAAAGTGTGGGCAGGAGAGAAAGCCTTGGTGAAGGCCCTAGGACAGCAAAATGAGTGGGAGTTGGGAAGCCCAGAGATGGGGCTGGAACTATAGATGTAGATCATGCTACTTAAAATTAAAATCCCCTCCCATCCCAAGCTCCTTTCTCTTCTCTTGGTCAAGCTGCTTTTTATCTGTAGTTCTTCTTGTGTAGCATATAATTTATATACTAGAATTTTTGTTCACATGCATTCTCAGTGCCTAGAATAGCACCTGGCTTATAGTAGGAACTTAATACCTATTTGTGGAATAAATGAATAAATACTAAGTTTGGTATGCACATAAGGGTAACAGGAAACCATGAAAGAATTTTTAGCTGGGGAGTAGCAAGATCAGTAAGATCAGAACTTCAGGAAAAGCAGTTTGGCCACTGGTACAGAATTGGTCTCGAGGAAGAAATCTAGGGGCAAAGCAACCAGCTGATATCCTTCCATCAGTCCAAGGCAGTGAACACAGTGACTTCAACTGGAGTAGTAGCTGTGGAAGTAGAAAGAAATAGGTAGATCTGGGAGATATTTAGAAGACAGAATCAACAGGATCTGGTGACTAAATGGGGAGGGAGACTCAGGCTTTGCAGCCAGTTAAGACTGAGGTTTGATTTCTACTTGTCATTACTACCTTGGGCATGTTGCTTGAGCTCTCTGAACTCAGTTTCTGTATCTGACAGTAACAGCACCAACAACTCACAAGGGTACTGAGGGTACTGTTAAGTATTAAGTTAGTTGACATGTATCAATACTTTGAGAGTGACTGGCACTTAGTATTATTCGATAAATGTTAGTTCACTTCCCCTGTGGCATTTACGGATTTATATGCTTATTCTGACTGAAAGATCCTTGAGGACTAAGATCACACTTAGCAATACTTTGTACCTAGCACAGTGGGTGAGAAGAATGAGACACAGTCGTGGTTAAGTTACGAAATTGGTGGCAGGAAAAAGATTACATTAATTTTCAGCTGTGACTTAAACTGAGAATGTCAGGACCTATTTGGAATCTATTCCCATTCTACTAACAGTCTCAAGCTGGTGAGAAGTGTAAGAGGAGGAAGAAGAGCATAAACACATGAACTGTGGATTCCTTGAGAGTAGGGACTATGCTTATTCATTTTTGTACCAACCAGAACAATGTTTTGTACATGGCAGATGCTCAATGAAAATTCTGTAACTAAATAAATTGGAGTTTAACTACTGACAAAGGTACATTTATGGGGCACCGCCCAGCATTCCGCTTACCTGTCTGCAATCTCAAGTGAGCCTCAATATTTTGTAGTCGTTCTTCGACAGCCTGATTACCACAATCTCGGAGCAAGCTGTTAGGTTTATGACCTGACCCTTGAATTCCTTCAGGTCTAGTCTGTGGTCCATATGTATTCACAACTCTAGAAACTAAATTAAGAAACTTTTGAAATATAAATTTAATAGGCTTAAAAGTCAGAAATTCTATCTCCCTAACAGTACTTCATATTTTTATAAAATCCATCTGACCATCAAGCCAAGTACAAAGGCAAGACTTTTTATTTTGTTTTAAAATAAACAAAATTTAGATAGGAAGTGATTTCTACTTCATTTTGCTTATCATCTAGAATAAGCTTCTGACAATGGGATGAAGATATGTAGTGGATACTTACCTTTTACATGACTTTTAAATCCCGGGTAAGGAGTAAAAACGGCATCAGTTCTTGCACAACTGTTTTCTAAGGAGAATTTAGATGAGTATAAGTTTAAGTATATTCTTAACTTTAAATGTATGAGATTTTGATAAATTTCCAATAATTCATATTAACATACTACTAATAAGAGAATTATTTTAAATAATAGTAATTAAATCACCATCTCATACAGGATAAAATATAGCGAACTTTCCCCTCTAAAATTTGTAATCTTTAATCTTATCTAATTTTCAGATTTGTATATAGAAAAGTCCTTAGCATTAAGTGGCATAATTTAATTTTTAAAAAATACTAATATCCCCCCCAAACCATCTGAGTCTTTGGAGAAAATACTTTATATTTTATAGAGAGCATTTTATTTCTAAGCCAAAGAGACATTATTCCCTTTATTTCATCATAGAAATAAATAGAACTCATTACTTTTACTGAAAAACCTTTTTTAAAAAATTCAACATTTTAGTATTATTTATTGATCAAACTAAGGATCTAATAAAAAGGATTAATTATACATTTAACACATTTTTATTTCAGAACTCCACACAAAAGAGATCTTGAAACCTCAAGAATAACACATACTTTTCCACTTTATTTAGGTTTCCAGTGCTCATTTTAAAAAATCTCTAACAAAAGCTATCTATCCCTTTCCAGACCACTCTTCAAAAAATGCAATTTTAGGAAAAATAAGTTGTAAAAATTTGTTCCAATTTTTTTCTAAGTTGAAAAGTATAATTTTTTTTTTTTCAAATTAGGTATCAACAAATAAATTACAAACCCAGGGGGAAAAGTGGAATAATGCTAACATAATATAAAAATGTTTCAAATATTATAAAATATTTAAAATGACATTAAGTAAAACTATGTATTGCAGTAAATTTCTTGAAAAATTCCCAATTTATAATAAAAAATAGATGGTAAAAGAGATACTGAAAGAAAAATTTTTTTCCCTATGGAATTTAAAAAAAAATCTATTGTTTATACTTAAGTCAGACTGACAGGTATCAAAGGAATACACTAACATATTACAATATATTCATATTTTTTTCAGTCTAAGTTTCCTTAATAGTTCTGCTGACAAATCAAATTATGTGAATATAATTCCAAATTCATCTTTTATATATAGATACTAAACAGAATCATTTTCTTTTTCTTTCCTTTTTCTTTTGAGACACATCAATATACGTTTAAAGGGCCATCACTTCTCCATTCTCTTTTTACCATCTCATGGGGCTAAGGGTTAAAAAAAGAAGCTATCATCCATTCCAGAGTTATATTCCAAGTATATAGATTAACTGACCCATCAGTGAGAAATTCAGCATGGTGTGAAGACAGTGAATGTATGAGTGCTAGTCCCTGTCCACAGCAATTCTTGCTAGCACTGTTTTGAGCCAGCAAGGGACTGAATGGGCCAAGGAATCCTGCTGAGCATTTCAATTCTTGTCAATTTCTATCCCCTGGTGGTTTATAATAATAGAGTTAGCAGGGAGAACAGAGGAATAACATTAGTGACACATGTGCTTGCTCCCTCAACAAACCCTTTCTCACGGGTTGCTTGCGGTTGGATGGATTGTAGTACCTGAGATTATGCCACTACTGTATCTGTTCTAAAAAGCTAACAGGAAAATATACTAAGTCTAGAGAGGTGCATGTATAATGTTAACAGGAGAAAAGGCTGAATTTAGGACCCACTTGAGCCTGTATTATTTCATTATTAAGAGAATCAGTGTACCAATATAAGAGTCAATTCTAGGTTCATCTGACAGTTCTGTGTTCATAATAATTAGCTAAGAGATGTTAGAGGCAACAAGAAAAATGTTCATTCCAATTAGGAACTCTTCTCCATAATTTTTTCTAAGAACTACTTGTTCTGATTATTACTATGATGCCTGAGTAAGATCTATGCCAGTGTTTTGCAGTATTCTGTATTCTGCAGCATACCTGCAGATCTGTAAATACACTATAGCATCAAGTAGAGGAAAAGGAGAATCTGATGAAAAACAGCAAATGTGTACATTATGAGAGAAAGGAAAAAAGCATAAGACACCACAGTCTTGATGACAGATTGCTTTTATCATGACAGAAAACATTTCAAAAAGCTCAGGAGTAGTGAGAAAACTGCTCCCTCTTGAGGAGTATTAACTTTACTAAGTTTACTTATATATTAATACAATTTCAAAAGTACACTTACAGGCTCGAAATTTATATAACTTAGTTCCTTCTTATTAGTGAGACTGAAAAATGCTGCCACCCATACTTCATCTTCATTTCCCAAAGAAACTTTAAAAAAGAATCTTCACCTGTGGTAAATATTAGCCCTTTTATGTCTGCATTTATTAGATTTTTGCTAACCAAAATGAAACCCATTTTTAAAATTTTTTTTTGAAAATTTTTATTTTATTATTTTTTTATTTGAGAGAGCGAGCGAGAGAGCACAAGATGGGATAGAGTCAGAGGGAGAAGCAGACTCCCTGCCGAGCAGGGAGCCCATTGCGGCACTCGTTCCCGGGACTCCGGGATCATGACCTGAGCTGAAGGCAGCCGCCTAACCAACTGAGCCACCCAGGCACCCTGAAGCCCATTTTTGCAATGTAGTCTTATTAAATAGAATTTCTGCTGCCTGTTTCTAAATAAACCTGTTAAATAAATTGTGATTTAATGTTACTCATTTTTAAAAACAAATGAAAAATCAGAGCAACTCTAAAAACTGTGCTTAAAATCCTATGAAAACTAACTTCTTCCAGGTAGTTACCTTGATTACAATCAATAACATTGCAAAATTCCCTGACGTTGTTTTCATTGATTTCAGCTTGCTTTCTTTCAATAAATGCAGATATTCGTCTGTCAATCTATAAACAATAACGCATGTTTTAACAATTTGAGCATAAGATTTAAAATAATACTCTTCCCCCCCGCCCCCAATAAAACCTTCTTACTTCTGCTTTTCCAGCCTTTATTTGAACTACTTCTGGATCAAAATGGATCTGTGTCTTTTTCACATCTCCTAAATCACAATCTTTGTGCTTTTCTTCCTCTTGTAGGTCACTAATGGGAAATTTGGCATTTACTTCATTCTTGTTCCCCGTTTCTGTTTTTTCTATCTCTCCAACAACAGTTGTATTCTCCTCTTTAATCAGAGGCTGAAGTTTTGCTAAAAAAGGCTGAGAAGAACACAATTCCATCTGCAGAGGTTCAAACTAATCAAAATTAATTACACATTTAACATTTATATAAATTTCTGCTAAGTAAACACATTATTTAATATCAATTAACTACATATAAAATGTTGGCATATCAGGATACATAGATCTGATCACATGTAAGTGTTTGCTGTTCTCTGCTATTGTGACATTATCATTTGGTATAAATCTGTTAAAAAAAAAAAAAGAAAGAAAACCTGAGGAAATTTAAAATTTTCTTTGAGGGAATCATTCTGTCACTCATCTTCTATTTTGTGCCAAATCAAAGCCTCAGCCTCTGGCACCAATGCCACTTAATTAACATGTCATTCAAATGCCTCCTCAGAACACTAAGGCTTAGTATTTTTCCTCCTTAACATGAGAGCCAGTGCTCTCACTCAGCAAAGCCCTGCATTATCACTGTATCACTGGAGATTCTCCACTTGAAACTGCAGTTGGCCAAAGTGAATGAGAGAGCATAGACATGAAATATATAGGTGTTATGCTGAGTGAACACTCAGGCTTTTCCTGACATGGCAAGATATCTTCTTAGGTCATGAAATTAAATTTTTAAAAAGAAAGTGAACAAGGAAAAAAAAAAACTACCAAGATCCACAGCTGAAAAGAGATATATGCCTATCACTATACTAGAGGGGGTTAAAAAAAAACAACAAAAAACAACCCTATTGTATAATGTAAATTATACTACTCACCTCCCTCCCCCATTAATCAGGCCTCAACTGAGTTCTGTCGCTCATTATTTCTGTCCTTTAATATTAGGGTTAACTATTTCAACATGAAACAATTAAAATTTCCCGTAAAGTCACTGAACAGAGGGCTGAAAATTAATGTTTATTCCATTAATCAAAGCACACCCATACTTGTCAATGTTCCAGTTATTTTTTCATACCTGTACTTTTGCTTCCGTTATTTATTATACCAGGTACTCTTCTGAAACCTTGTAACATCTTAATAGCAGTAAAATGACCAATCCAAATAGTTCTTCCACTTACCTTTTGACACTCTGTATTTTATACTTTGATTAGAGATAAACTGCAAACTTACAATTATAATTGCAGAGATGTTCAATTGGAAACCAGCAAGGTCATAATACTGTTCAATTACTGAACTGAAATATTAAAAAAATATAGCAGTACTATTATAAATAATTCAGTGTTGATTTCTAATATAGAGGATGAATTATTTCAAAGTGTTAAGAAAAAGAAAAGATAAAATAGTGACTGGCTACTTACTAAGATGAGACATTAATGTCACAGAAATTACTTTCTTTTTAAAAACTAAGCTGAAACTGTTTAATTGCAATAGACACTCCAGGATGTGTCATGCTGGGATAATGCCACTTCTTGAACCACTGAAAGCACTCCATGAGCCTCCAAACTCACCCAAGGCATGGAATCATTATCATAGCATGACACACACCTGCCGTGTCTTATTGCTTAATTATAACCCACCATAGATGCAACTGTATTGAATTTTCAGTGCAAGTCTAGAATTGAATAGAATTGCATTCATTCAGTTTTCATACCACATCAGCCTATTGAACTATATTCCTGAGACTGTCCAGATCACTATATAAACTAACAGATTTGGATCTAAAGTGGCTGAAGTAACCTTTTATTGATAACACTATTAATACAGTGGTAAGAACTGACAAATACTCTAGCTTATAATTTAACTATCATTAATTTCTATTCTCAATACTGACTTAACATTTTTAACAAGAAATTTACCTGTAAATATAAAACATGATGCTCAAGTGCACTAAAGAGCAAAGCGGGCTGGAATGCCGAGAGGCTCTGGAGCTTGTTCCAATCGATTGTAATTTTCACCACATCATCTCTGAGGTTAAGCTTCAAAGGGGCAAACCAGCAACATCACAAAAATTACACGATTAAGCTGTGTATATGGGATGTCACAAAAATAATATTTCTTTAGAGTAACATGCCTATTCAGCTCAAAGTTATCAGATTTTTAATGATACATTAAAATGCTCTACCTAGTTACCATTTTAAAAGGCCAAGAAAGATGTAATTTTCATAGAAAAAAAAACAATGATATCTCATTCTAATTCTATTCTTGGGTCTGTGTAATGGGACCATCTTACAGGTGAAACCATCCACGAAAGATGGAAAGATGAGGCTTTTTTGATACTTCATTATCTAAAACCTTTGGATGAGGGCCAAGTATTTCTAGCTCAGACCACTAAACAGAAGGGGCAGGCACATTTAAGAAAGTTCTGATATAAACATTTCTTTTTGTTAAATATGTACACAAAGACATAACTGATATATATCACTCTTCTGATGTTTTCTGAATCACATTTTTATCGTTTCCAACTTTAACCAATTTTAAAATAATTTAAAAATCAACATTATTCATACATATTATAAAGCCTAGGGATAAATGGCAACGTGTTTATATACTTCAAATAAAAAACTGTAATCTAGCTGTGGAAATCTGAAAGTGAAAAACAAATAGTCTTCCACAATAGTGAAATAAATGGTCAGAGACTGAATGGAATGGCTAGATCTTTCGCTAACTAGTATTTTCTAATACTTGTGAGGGCTTGTCATATAAAACTTCTTATAAGTTGGCTATGTGTGACCTATTAGAATAAATTATATACAGAAAACTACCAAGAACCCAAATATAAAATTAATATCAAAATCAGTGAAAATTTTAGAGGGAAAGCCTCCGTCTCTAGGCTTCCAAGTGAATAAAAGTGAACCTCCATAAACTTTTCTAGGTATATGTGTTTATAGCATACTATAAAGATATATTGCACGGTAGAATTAAGTTTATTTTTTTTTCAGAAATCATTCATTAAAAGTCATGTTTTCTACAAAATAAAGGCAAGTATTACATTAGTTCAAATACAGATGTTATGAGTTGTGATTATAATAAAACAAAAAGATGAATCACTGTACAAAGAACCAGAGATCCAAAGTTACCAAAAAAGGCACTATACTGAATACTATATGACAAAAATTTACCACCCTTTACATGAAACAAGAAACATTAAAAATCTATATCCGATGAGTATAAAGAAATAGGAAGTCTTGGATAGGCTGCACTGGCAAAGATTAGTTTATAATCACTAAGGTTTTACATTAAGAATACTGCATTAATCTTAGTTTATATTAATGCCCATAAAAATTTCATTAGACAACAACTTATGTATGGAAGTAAACTATTACTGTACTTCTACAGTCCTCTAAGACTGTTAAAATCAGTTGATAACAAATTTATGAATAGAGTTTAGGGATAACACAGACAAATCCTCAACCAAAGTAAAGCATCAAATTTTTTGAGAAAATAATAACTTACAGAAAATAAATCTTAATGTTGGGATCATATTCTTTCAATTTAACATAATTATGTAAGACTTTCAAGCACAATTAAAGATACTTGGTTTTTTTAAGAAAACCACATAATAATGATATTAATGAACTTTAAAATTATCCCAATATATCCAACTATTTATTCAACAAATTCCCTATTAGTAATATGAGTTCTATGCATTTTTACCCTTTATACTTGTAATTGTAAACCATTCACTCAAAAATGTAGTAGTCTGACATTAATAAGGACTATTTAAATATGCGTTTTCAGTAAAAACTTAAATTAATATGAAAATCCAAGCTAACAATAAATAATGCTTCAACTTGGTAAAATGAGCCATGCAGAGGCAAGCAATAAGGTTAAAACCAGTAAATTTGAAATCTGGGATACTTTTTAACATTCAATTTTATGTTTCCTATTGAGGAGAGCCAACAATATAATGATACTATGCAGAATGAAATTAAACGTATGGAAACTTTTTTTTTTTTTTTTTTTGAAACTTACATTTAAAAAAACATCCTGTAAACTTGTTGCAAAAGTAAATAGTGATTTTCCTCCAGGGGCAATTTTATAAGTATTGTGGCTTTCATTCTTATCTTTTAACAATACATCTCAAAATATAAAGAGTAACATCAAAATGGTTAGTATTTAATCGATGAGACACTGATTTAATTTTTTGACACTTATATAGATGGCTCCTTCACTGTGTCATGTAATCTTTCCAAATATTTACTCCAAACATTTTTGACAGGTGACATAATCACAAAATATGTATTAAAATTTGTAAATGAGTTTTAAAAATTCAGTATGCAATATATTTCAAAAGAAATGTTTATTTAATGTTACTTTAAAAAATATCTTACCACTGAAAATAAAACTTCTGTAAATTATAGGTGAGCATAAACTTTTTTCATCCTGACATTAAAATACAAATAAACCTTAAAACTCCAATGTCCAGGACATAAAACGTTCTTAAACCGTTAAACCATTACAGCTGTTGGGTGATAAGACTAAAATATTAATGTCCCCAGGTCTTTAAAAAATTTTAGTAAGTCCATGGCAAACAAATGAGTTCAAAAGTTACAACTTTTAGCAGATTCTATTAATAATTGTTCTGTTACACCAAACAAAATGTTAACTTAGAGTAATGCTTTTTTTAAGTCACGACAAACATATAGGATTTTAAAAATACTGAAATAACCTTTTAAAAAATTTATTCTCCATCCACCCACGGCTTTTCAAAATACTTTTTTTACAAATCAGACAAATGTTCTGCTTTCATAAAGGAAGTTAACATTATCTTTGACATAAAAGTCTGCTGTGCCTACTACATGCACTAGTACCAACCCCATAACCAACTTTTAGAGCTGGAAAATATTCCAAGATACAAGAGAAAAGATTTTCTTTTTAAAAGCAAACAAACTTATTTTCAAGTTGTTTCTCATTTATAGTATGCTTTGCATTTTACTTCATGAAACGAAGTAGTGAGTTGATTGGAATAGAATGTATTAGGAGTACTTTTATTTAAATCCAATTTATTATGACATTTCTGCAGAAGCTGTTTATCAGCCAGTTAAATTAGTTAATAATTAAATGACGATTAAACAACAGTTCTGATGCAAACTGTATCAACCATGGATAACTCATCCAACTTTATGCAAGAAGTATTTACATTAATTCCTTTTATTTTCCTCCCCATATGAAAGGGTAAGAGATGCACACAACAACCAGAAGGGAAAAAAAGAAAGAAACCAAGTGACTCCTAAAAGCAAATCACCCAAAAAAGGCGGGGAGAGCTTTTCCAAAATTCTCAGGCCGTTACAAACCTATCAATTTCTATAATGAATTCACTGAAGGAAAGAGGATCGTGAGCGCCAGGCACCTTCCAAACCCACAAAGCTTTTTACACGTCATTCTCTCCAAGCCTGTTCTTCTCGGAGCGGGTTTTTCACTTACACTACGCTCTCTCACTCTTGGGGAGAAGAGTTGCAAGGAAATCTGATCTGCAACCCATCCTGAACTAAGCCCGTACGGCCATCCTCACTCCGACCGCAGACTGCTGGGCTCGGGCTCCTCCTCCCGCCTCAGCTAGTCTGTCCTTATCCCCGGCAGCCCTCCGCAGCCCCCCGGCAGCCCTCCGCAGCCCCCCACCTCCGCTAGAGGAAAAAAGGGGGGAGGGGCCGGATAGTTCCCATACCCCTATTCCCACAGATCACCACTCACTTGTCCCACCAGGCTATGCAGAGAGCGAAAGAATTCGCAGAGCACCTCTTGGGAGAGATTAGGGCTGCAGCTCCGCTCCAGACTCCTGTCACCATTGCTCGAGCGACTAAGCTCAACGGCAGCAGCCATGACACCTTCGCAGGCTACCCCCGCCACCACGAAGTTGTGCTCACAACGCCCCCTCCTGCTTTCGTCGCTGGCAGATGACGTAAAAAACACAGCGTCTCATTTAGACCGGGCCTTTGAGGACCACCTCTCGTTATGACTGACAAGGCGGTGCACCAATCAGGTGCAGCTATATCGTCACGCCAAGGACCAGGAGCGGGTAATTGCTGACCTGAGCGAGGCTGTGTACAGCGTTTGGGATGGTGATTGGGGAGGTGGTGTACTGAGGGTTAGCATCCGAAGCCTATCTTGATTTTTAGATGTTGCTTATGAGTGTTGGTAAGAGGAAACTTATAGTTAAATGTTAGAGTTTTAGAAGTTAAATTTTTAAATTAAAATTTTTAACATGGCGCTGTGTAGTGGTTTGAGGAAAGATTGCTGGTCGGGGATGCAGCAGTATCCACACCTGCTTGTAAACTTTGGAAAACTCTTTCACATAGAATTGTCATACTTAGAACATTTCACCTTTACAGGGTTGTTTAAAACTTACATAAATTAACGTCACTAATTTTTCATGTGAGGAGCGGAGGATATGAAAGAACAATAAAATGCCCTACTCTTCCTCGCGTACTATCAAGGGAATGACATTAATTACTTTAAATCTGCAAAATAATTATGTTAAGTTTTAAAACGTACATCAGTTGCTATTCGTATCTGGGTGATACTGTAGAGACACTCGCCCTAAAGCTTTCAAAGAAGTCAGACACTGTCAATACGATTCTCACCGTTTAACCCAAGTAAGTAATTGCATGCGACACAGTATTTGAAACTAGAAGGAAGACATAAATCCGAAGTGAAATTTGACAACGTATTATTCATCAGATTTATTAAAAGATATTTGAAGGACTTTTATAGTCCCAAGTCTAAAAAGTTTTGTTGTCCAATTGAAAAAAAATAGAAGAATTTTAAATGTTAAGCTCTATTCCAAAACAAAACCCATCAGTTCATAGATAAGGGATGAGGTATTTAAAATTCTTAACCCTAATAGTCTAATGCATTTACAGTAGAGGAAGCAAAGGTGGAAACTTGCACAATACGTATTCTTCAGTTTTAGAGTAGGCTGAATGAAAGGAGCAGAATAAGCATCAAGGAACTGGAATAGGGGCAGTAGAGATAAAAGAACGCCTTTGACCTGTCCCTAGGGAGCCTCTTAATTAGGCTTTCATTTCCAAAGATCACCAGGCTTGACAGGGTCTTGAGAAATCTTGTCTGTTCCCTTCCTCACAGCAACATATACAATTTATAATCCCGCCTATGTCTAGAAACATGCAGAAAAAGATTTCCCAATATGTAATCCCAAATTGAGCAACCTTCTCACTCAAGGCACTCATCTCCATATCTAACTAAAATTCATGATTCTTTGCAGTGCTAGCAAATTTTCTTTGCCTCTGGTTCTCTTTTTAGAGGAGAATAATTAAAACAGTAACTAGAATTTTTTTTGTAACAAATCAGCAACCAGTTTCAGATCATTTGTTTTCATCTAGGTGTGAAGGTTTTTTTGTTTTTGTTTTTTACCTTTTTTTTTTTTTTTTTTTTTTTTTACCAATATTCAGGACACTGGTAGGAAACAGTTGGGGACGTGCTTTGTATATTATAAGAAGACCATCTTTAATAAGGCACTGCTCATTCCTGTCTATGCCATCACTGATTTTGAAATTTCAAGTGTTACTTGTTCCCTTGAGCCTCTATTATAGAAATGATGGCCATTTGATTTTTATATAAGTTCTCTATGTAATTCTGTGTTTTGATATCCAGACTTCCACTTATATCTTCGTATTGCTTACTGAGATAATACTTGGAATTTAACTCTTTTATGCATTATTTCTACTTTCTAGGGACCTTTCTTACTTCTTCCTGATGCTTATTACCTTCATTTTAGAAAATTTCTTATTTTCTTCTATTTGTCTTAAATAGAAGAGTTCATAGGCTGAAAAGATGTGGATTTCCTTGGGCTAACTTTAAATAGAAATATGTAGATAGTAATGTATAACAAAAATATGATGAAAGCTATAACATTTAGAAAGGAAATAAAGGAAATAATTTTCCCCTTATAGAAGACTAATTATAGTTTATAAAGTGGGTTCCTGAAAAATCTGCTACCTGGCAGAAATGATTCAAAGTGTTGGTCTTAGCATTACCAACAAAATTAGAAATACTGTCCTGCAAGTTTATGATAAGAATTAACTGAGAGGAGGGGCGCCTGGGTGGCTCAGTTGATTAAGCGACTGCCTTCGGCTCAGGTCATGATCCTGGAGTCCCTGGATCGAGTCCTGCATCGGGCTCCCTGCTCGGCAGGGAGTCTGCTTCTCCCTCTGACCCTCCTCCCTCTCATGCTTTCTGTCTCTCATTCTCTCTCTCTCAAATAAATAAATAAAATCTTAAAAAAAAAAAGAATTAACTGAGAGGATAGAAAGTATAAATGAAATCTGGGCTATCTATCTTATCAACAAAAATGTCCTTTATTGGGCGCCTGGGTGGCTCAGTCATTAAGCATCTGCCTTCGGCTCAGGTCATGGTCCCAGGGTCCTGGGATCGAGTCCCACATCGGGCTCCCTGCTCCTTGGGAAGCCTGCTTCTCCCTCTCCCACTTCCCTCTGCTTGTGTTCCCTCTCTCACTGTGTCTCTCTCTGTCAAATAAATAAATAAAATCTTTAAAAAAAAAATGTCCTTTATGAAGAGCCTAAAGGCACAACTCCACTACATAATCCAGTGCACAGCAAAATGCCTGTAGTATTAATAGTGCTCAACAGATGTTTGTTCAATGTATATATTACAAATTTTAACTAATTCAGCAAAGGAAAAATAAATGTTACTTATCTTCTCTGGCTCCCCATCACCTGATGGATAAGTGTAAGTTCCTTAGAATGGCATCTTAGGCTCTTCTCATGATCTGGCCTTTGCCTAAATTTTCAGCCTCATTTTCTGCCACAAACCATCTGGTGCTTAATGCTCCTGAAACTGTTCTTAGTTCTTCAAAATTTTACTATTTTTTGCCTCTGTGTTTTTTTGTTTTTGTTTTTGTTTGTTTGCTTGTTTGTTTTTTAATTTATGCCCTTGCCTCTGGTCAGCTTGTAAAACTCCTATTCCTCCTTCAAACTACAGCTCAGAAATCTCTGGGAAGTTTTTCCTTAATTCTTCTCATAAAGAGTTTATCTTTTCTGCTAAACTACTACAAATTGTATATACTTTCCATTATTGTACTTATCATATTGATATTGAAATTTCCTTGACTCTGAGTCTGTCTCCCCATTGAACTATGAACATTTATATGTAACATGTTCGTGTATTTAAGGTTTGCTATAGTACCTGGCATACAGCAATTACTCAGTATATGCTTGTTGAGCTGAATTTATTTGCCTGTCTAGGGTGAACAGATATGTAAAATGGAAACAAAAACAAGTTTCTGCCCTTGAGAGGAAATTGTAACACATGGTAAGAATGATATACAAATCCATTTCAAATAACAAAGCATGTCTGTTATCCTCTTCTGGAATAATACCAGATTCAAAGTGCCCAAATTTTTCTCAATGAATAAATATAGCTAGCCTCCATAACCATTCTCATGAATGATAGCCATACCAATTAATTGTACCTTCTGTATGCTAGACACTCTGATCAGCATGAGAGATATAATGATATAATGATACAACTGATATAATGTGAGAATGATCATTTTAGATGTATAAAGCAATACAACCAGTTAGTTCCTGTGGGGAGGTGTTTGGATTCAGTGTCAGGAAAAGCTCTAAACATTTGATGTATAACATGGATTGAGGCTCAAATGATGAGTATAAATTTCTCAATTTAAATAAAGCATGAGCAGCAACTTGAACATGCTTAATGTGTTTAGGGGGGATACACTGAATAGAGAAGTATGGCTAAGCCAGCATTTCCCAAAGTTTATTCTGCTGAATACTAGTCCTGTAAGATGCTTCTTTTAACAAAAGTTTCCATGGCCAAATAAGTTGGAGTAATATCAACTAATTGTGTTACCATGTCATGAAATGGATCATAACATTCCACTTTCTATTAGCAAGGAGCTCACACTACAATCAAGTCCAAGGACACAACTAAACAAATACTACAGTCCCATCTTTGAGGATATGTTTACTGGGACCCTCCATACCAATTTCTGAGTCAGTCAGGGTTTAGTTAGAAAACAGAAACCATACCTGTTATTTGAACAGAGAAAATGTTAATAAAAATTGTTATTAGGGTAAATTGTTAACTCAAGAGATAATAAGAAAACAATAATATATCACAAAGTTAGCAAATTCAGGAAGCAGCTAACCCCTCTAGGGCTGGGGGAACAAAGGGAAGAGTTTGGAATTATTAAAATTTAGGAGCTTTGAGGCACATCCCTGTGGAGTCCCTCAGAGAAGGGGGTGGTGCTCAGCTGGGATTGATGTCTTAAGAGGTGAGGGGTCATGATGAGGCTGATTTGGAAAGTGTTTAAAACTGCAAAGGGAACATCCAAGCACTGCAGAACAACACTACGCAGTCTAACATACATGCAACTGAGATCCCTAAAGGAAAATAGAGATTGGGGCAGAAGAAACATTTCGAGAGGTGATGGCTGAGAAATTTCCATAAGTAATGAAAACATCAAACAACGGATCCAAGAAACCCAGAGAACTTCAGTAGTAGTTGTATACTGCTGTGTAACAAATTACCCCCAGATTTAGTGGCTTAAAACAACAAAAATTTCTTGTCTCCTAGTTTCTGTGGGTCAGAAATTTAGGAGTGGCTTTGCTTGGTGGTTTTACCACCCACTGTGGAGAAAGCCAGCAAGGCAGAAGCCATAGTGCCTTTTAGGACCTAGTCTTTCAAGTCACACACTGTCACTTCCATCTGGTTCTGTTTGTCAGTAGCAAGTTATGATGATTGGCCCATACTCAAGAGGAGGGAAATTAGGTTCCACACCTCCATTTCAAATATGAAGGAGAAATAAAGACTTTTTTATGTAAACAAAACGAAGATACTTGATTATCAGCAGACTGCACTATAAGAAATGTTAAAGGAAGTCTTTCGG